CTCAAAATTTTTTTTATCTTGTCAGTTCAAACACTCGAGTCTTTTTTTGCGCTGTAAAACAGCGCATTGGCCCATTGTCAAAAACATGGACTAGAATCTAATCTCGAATAAAATTAAAATGCAGCCTCGGCGCACGACAAATGAGTTTCATTAAATGAAAAATAATAAGACTTGAAGTATAGGGTAAATAATAAACTCGGTCAGAACACGAAAATTTTACGCTTATCAGATTAGAATTGGTTGCAATTAAGGGAAAGATTGACTGTACAATATCAGCCAAACTTGAGCTGTTGAGCAGCCAGGCAACCGCATTCCAACGCACTATAAAGCTTCATAGTCACAAGATTGGCTGTTGTCCGCGACTGTACGCGAGCTCAACTTGGGCTCCACGAAAACTCCCGAGTCCCGAGTCAGGGCGCTCAAGCGAGAACGTGTGGACGGTAGCTCAGTTTTTCGATGCCTGCATCCAGCTTTACGACTCCTACAACGGGATAAGAAGATCATTCAGATCAGCTACTTCTGTCGTGCATATTGATTACTGCGCTGTCAGTTCCGTGTTGCTTCAGCCTAGCTTGGGATGAATATTAGGGGAATATTATTAATACCTCCAATAATATTTATTAAGTGTACATAAACTAGAGATTTAAAGTTGGATCGTCACTGCTGTTAGGAGGCCCTGTATTCAATTGTGCAAATCCTGGATAGCTTGAGTTCCAGTGCAGTGAAGAACTTCAACATCTCCGAGTGATAAGTCTTCGTAGCTTCTGAACTTTGTAGGACTTGAAAGACTGGCGATGGCGATAATCATGAACACGTGCCAGGCTTAACTTCGCCTGAAGGGAGAAACTTAGGAAGCGGCGCGCGTTTCTCGGAGCAACGCTAGATGATTTCTGATAGGACAGAAAGTGCATATTCTCGCTGGCGATTAGAGAACAAAATCTACATCATCGGGAGAAAGAAGCGAGTGCGATTGTTGAAGCTCTCAGGAAATGGAAGCATTTCTTACTAGGCACTCATTTTCAAATTGTTACTGATCAAAAATCCGTGTCATTCATGTTTGACTGCAGGAAACAAGGAAAAGTTAAATGAAAAAATTATGAGATGGAGAATCGAATTGTCGTCCTTTTAACTTTGACATTATTCACAGGCCAGGGAAGGCCGGCCAACTTAGTGGCCGACACGCTTACACGAAACTCAGTGGTGGTGTGCGGCGCGGTGTATAGCTTTCCTGCAGACCTAAAAAAGCTTCATGATACGCTCTGCCATCCACATCCAGGGGTCGCGAGACTTGCACACTTCGTCCGTTCGCGAAACCTTCCTTATTCCGTGGACGACATCAGGAAAGTCGTTGCTTCGTGCTCTATTTGCGCGGAACTTAAACCTCGCTTCTACAAACCACCACCTGCGAATTTAGTCAAGGCTGCACAACCATTCGAGCGCTTGAACACAGATTTCAAAGGTCCCTTGCCTTCTACAAATAAAAACTGTTACATGTTTACCGTTATTGACGAGTTTTCAAGGTTTCCCTTTGCTTTCCCTTGCGCCGATACCAGCGCGAATACGGCTATAAAATGTCTGTGTATTCTGTTCGCTATATTTGGCATGCCAGCCTACATTCATTCAGATCGTGGAAGTGGCTTTATGTCGGAAACTTTCTAGAAATTCCTTATCGAAGAAAGTATCGCTCAAAGCAGAACAACGCCTTATAATCCCACGGAAAATTCTCAATGTGAACGATATAATGGAATTATTTGGAAGACGGTGCTGCTCTGTTTGAGGTCGAGGACGATGGATACGTCACAATGGGAAATAATTCTACCCGATGCTCTGCATGCTTTGCGATCTTTGCTATCCACAGCGACTAACTCTACTCCGCATGAACGGAGCTAACATAAACTAAATTAGAAAATCGACAACTGGCTCTACACTTCCATCGTGGCTAATGGAACCTGGCAAGGTGCTACTCAAGAGACAAGTTGGCCACAGTAAGAACGAACCGCTGGTCGATGAAGTGGAATTGCTCGAGGCCAATACTCAATATGCCCAAATCCGCTTCCCGAACGGGCGTGAGACCACAGTTTCTACGAAGCATCTTGCTCTCATAGCGTCGGGTGAAGTTGTGAACTCCTGGAAGGTGATGTTAAGCCTGAAAATAAGCTTTCCATGACCAACGAAGGCGACATGCGTAGCTTGCAGCCCATTAACATGGAGAACAGTTCAGAGACCAGCATCACCAGCGAAATTGCTTCACGTACGCCACCAAGCCCCTCCAGCGAACTTGCTTCACCAGGCCCCACCAGCTAACCTGCTGTACATTTGCCACCGAGCCCACCAAGCGAACCTGCTTTACGCAGATCATTTAGAGTTTCGAAGCCCACAGATAGGCTAACATATTAAAACAGTTCCCTTTACCTTGGACATTCTGCCGGTTGGCTGTCTGGGGGCTTTGTTCCCAGATTTGGGATCTTCTTGTTTTTCCGCATGATCGCTCTAAATTCTGAACTACGAATTTTATAAGAAATATCTGGTTATTTGAATTGAGAAGACTGGTTTTATTTGCTATGGTCAAGAAGTTTCACTTTAGGCACAGCACGTCTTCTCACCTTCACGGTCAAATCCTAAAAACTCCCTTTGGAACGGTTCAGGAGCGCCGAAACCATTTTCAGACAACAAATCTTCCGCTTCTGCAGAATAATTAAGGAACTCGAAATTTTCTAAATGTGTATGCGTTTGTTTACAATTCCAACAATCGCAATCACATTACTACTTTTAAATTATATAACATATCCATAATGAGAGACTCGGAGGAAATGATACTTCATATTCTTATTTATTTACGAATTCATTTTTTTCTCATGTTTTGCATAAACAGCGTCATCTGTTTCTTGCCATGGAGAGGAGGTGGACGTCGATTGCCTGCAAGAACTTCGTGTTTATTATTAGCTACCAGATTGTGTAAGTTTGCTGGAGCTCGAATCTGGTCACTTTGCCCACAAGTTTAGGCGACAAAACAAGTTGGCTTTGGCTAGAGTAGTGTGATGCAGATTTCCATCATCCACTAAGGGATAGGCAGGCATTATACAACGGGAGAGCAGTAATCGTACCTTCCTCCATGGCACCCCACAGGGAGTGGTGTATGTGATTTTAGAGAGGAATTCCAGATTTTAGGAGTGTTAACGTTTAAGAACACAATTACTGGCTACTGCCTGGCAGCACTCGTACCTACTAAAAATGTGGCTCGCTCCGAAATCTTCCCGAGTGAGCCATAAAAAATTAATGTAAAGGTAATGAGCCATAACCCTTACGGTCATGCCCTCTTATGGTTTTTGGCTCATAACTTCAAGGGCAGGAAGAAATGTGGAATTTCATTCTCTATAAACACTAGCTCCCTTTCAAAGCTCTTTACGATGGTACGTTTGTTTTTCATTTTTTTTTTCATTTTTTCTCGAGTCAGCACCACTTGTCAAAAAGTTGACCCTTACCGAAAAGGTCCGTGACCCGTAAAAATTTGGCTCGGTCGGCTCACTTCAGTTTTCTGTTAAAGGTAGTGGCCCATGCAGGTTTGTCACATTGAAGGGTTAAGTATGAATTGGCTCTCTTGGCTTACATGCCCCATGTATTACCCTTTCAAATGACAATGACCATAGTGGGGTCGTTGAAAGGGTAATAACATAAAATATTTTTTAATCACATTCTAACATGAAAATAAGTTGAATACTGATTGCTGGCGATCATTAAAGATTGAATAAAGGTTTATATCTTGCCCATTCGATGTAAAGAAGATACTTTTACTTTTCATCACATAACGAGATTTTTTCAGAATTTCTTGCCCTGAGACAGCATGTCAACGTCATTGCTATAACATTAGACTATTTTCAAGCTGATCTGAAATGTATTTTCAAGGATCTGAATTAGTCTCACACGAACACGATTGAGACTGTTATTTGATGCTGATGAAGGGAGACTGCCTGAAAATTTCTTGGCATTGTCCGAATACTATTTTGATGCTCCTCCATGGCCATTCAGGTGCCGAGCTGTGTACCATTCTACGAAAAGTTGAATCCTAAATAGAAAAAATAGTGGTATCCAGCTCGTTTTTGTATCAAAATAACCGCGATGATGAGCACTACAACATATTACGCTTGCGAGTTATTTTAAATAAAAAATATGAAAAGTCGTGAAAATCGTCGCAGCTAGTTCCTTTTGGTGTCAAAATGTTTGTAATGATGAGCACAAAAACATATTAAAATATCATCATAATCGGATAATTATTCGCAATGTTACGACTTCTTTTCATCAGAAAAGAAAATACGACTTCTTTTCATCAGAAAATGCAACTACTCCCCAAACCTGGTATGTTGTAGTCCTCATCAGCGCAGTCATTTTGATACCAAAATCAGCTAGCTACTACGATTCTTACTGTTTCAGCTCATATTTGACGTTAAGTCGAGCGTCTACGAAAGTCATAAACGACTATAGCCCATCTTTTGCTGCCAAATTCAGACACTCGGAAAATATTTACAACTGTTTGATATATTTTCACTCTGAAGGTATATGTAAACAATTTTAAGGCAAAAACGTTTATTTAAATCACTTCCATTTACATTCTGAAAATTTGACAATTGAGATAACTGAAAAGTATGAATTGGCAATTAATTCATAATTATAACTTTAATCTAAATCACTTCCATTTCAATTCTAGACATTAGACAATTGAGATTACAGTTGAAAAGTATGAATTGGCAATTAATTCATAATCATAACGCTTATCTAAATCATATCCATTACATTCTGAAAATTTGACTATTGAGATGACAACTGGAAAGTATAAATTGGCAATTAATTCATAATCATAACTTTAATCTAAATCACTTCCATTTCAATTCCAGACATTAGACAATTGAGATTACAACTGAAAAGTATGAATTGGCAAGTAATTCATAATGATAAAGTAACAAAAGCAATTGGAAATTGCAAAAATGAACAGAAATTGACTGAAATGAACAAATGGAAACAAAATTTAGTATTTTAACGTTACAACTTTAACCTTTACAGAGTAATTAAGTACTTTGGCAGTTAATTTTAAATCATAATTATGAAAAGTAGCTGCTTGAAAAGGTTCATCATTGCGCTGTATGAGAAGTGCGTGCCTTCCAACAGCTTCTTTGAACTCCTTGATATATTTTCTGAGGCACTTCTTTGCAGCTTTTAACAGTATATTTGAACATGGTTTCACGTGATCAGGTGCAGCTCCTTCAGCTGCTTGCGAGGAGGATGCAACAACCGGTATTTCAGCAAACTCTTCATGCTCAACTCCCGATGAAGTGTCGTCTTGAGCTGGCTGCTGAAGTGCTGCAGCAGCATCATCATCTGCTGACGATGCTGCAATTGATACTTCAGCTGCAGCATTAGTTGAATTGTTATCGTCTTGAGCCGCCATCGACTCAGCAGCTGCAGAAGTGCTGCTGTCATCTCCTGACGATGGGGCAATTGATACGTCAGCTTCGCGTTGAGGCAGCATCGAATGTGCAGCAGTAGAAGCGCTGCTGTCATCTCCTGACGATGGGGCAATTGATACTTCAGCTTCGCCTTGAGGCACCACCATCGACTGTACAGCAGAAATGCTGCTGTTATCTCCTGACGATGGGGCAATTGATACGTCAGCTACGTGTTGAGGCACCATCGACTGTGCAGAAGAAGTGCTGCTGTCATCTGACGATGGGGCAATTGATACGTCAGCTACGTCTTGAGGCACCACCGTCGACTGTGCAGCAAAAGTGCTGCTGTCATCTCCTGACGATGGGGCAATTGATACTTCAGCCTCGCGTTGAGGCATCATCGACTGTGCAGCAGAAATGTTGCTGTTATCTCCTGACGATGGGGCAATTGATACGTCACCTGCGTGTTGAGGCACCACCATCGATTGTTCAGTAGTGACGTCATTGCTCCTACAACTTTCGTCAGATGACACGTGAAGTCTGGTTGAATTTTGATGGCTAATTTCACTTCCTTTCGGGGTGCTAGCTCGCACATTTCTCTCAAGTTGTACAACGTCTTTACCTTTACCTTTACCAGATTCCGGTATATTGAAAATGGTAAGTAAACTGTCATCTAATGCCGTATCGAAATAATCAAACATTTTGCAGCTTTCTGCCTCCTTGTCTGCCACCACTGCATTCCTTATTCTGCGAACGTCGGCGTGGGTCTTATCTTCGTCACTAAGTTCAGGAAGAGTTGGAGAAATGGCCTTCATATTTGTTGCTCAACCTGGGCTTCAGATGAGCTTGGAGGGTGCCAGTTCTTCATGTGGCGGTTGAGGTGGTCGCCACGTTGATAACATGCGCGACATTCAGGGCAGAGGTATGGCCTTTCATCAGAATGGACCGTATTCAGATGCCTTTTTAAGTTCCGCCTGCACATGGAGAAAATACTTGTAAGTGTAAACAGTAAATAATTTGTAACTGCACAAAATAAAACATAATTTCCAACATTCAAAAGTTTAACTGTATGCTTACTTATACTTCAAGCGTTTTCCGCAATTTTCGCAGACAAATCGTCCATCTTCTTCAGATGGATGTCCATCTTCTTCAAATTGTCCATCTTCTTCAAATTGTCCATCTTCGTCTGTAGGGTCAGGATTACGGGTGCACGAAAAACAGCTTCCCATTTTATCTGTTGAGAGACATGTTGGAGGTTAAAACTTTAAAATCAGTTAGGTGAATTTGATTAGATTAAAAACAAATACACATTATTGATGCTCAGCAAAAATAATTCTACTTATAAAAAAATTAGTGCATCATCGGTCATCACAAAATTGTGCATAGCATGTCATGTATAGAATTGTGCACCAGGCATCATAGAATGAAAAGTAATTGACCTAAACTATGATTTATTTCTCCAAAAGATACGTTGGTTGTCACTGAAACATTTCTTCCTGTTTCAGGTATGTTTGCACGATCTTTTTTACTATAGTAAATTCACTTAACCCAATTAAAATGATGTGAAATTACGAGCTGTCCTGTAAGCTTACAGATACAAAAAAATGCTATGAGGCTGCTGATATGAAGCTTGCAGTGGACAAGGTTGTTGTAAATGCTCAATGGCATCTTCATGGATATGGTAATTTCGCGTCAATATTACGATAATTGCACAGCAATAATACGGTAATTAATGTATATGAGAAAATGAAAATATTAATGTATTAATGAGAAAATGCGCTAAAAAGAGATCTAGATAAAAAAAAACATCGCTGGGAGTCATGAGCTGCACGTGTAGTGTACAAATCGTCAAACAAACGTTCAAACTTCGACTTCGGACTGCTGCCCCCTTATCGCCCCCCGATCGCCCTTTTCTTCTTTACCGCCCCCAAAATCTTTCCACCGCCCCTAGGGGGGCGATATTGCCCACTTTGGGAACCACTGGGCTAAGCAATGGTCATTCCATTGGTATTTTAAAACCCCCCTGGAATTCCAACATGTAGGGAATAATGTTTAACTGCTACTTCTAGGGCAAAATTTGAGCTTATTCATGATCTGCGCGCATGCCGTTGTTGCCAAGAGTTTACAACTTTGTGGTTCAAGAATGGCTTCCCAAGGCTTGAGAAATAGGCTTACGGCTTGAAAATTTGTTAGTTCGTGGCTCAAAAAATTCAGTCGCGGCTCACAGAGTAGACGTTTTCCTTCCCTGTATTCCAACACTTTAAGGACGTAGCAAGAAATAAATGGATATAAATAGATCACCGTATGTGCAACTCTAGTTCTGATTGGTTTACGTCACTCTTAAAACACCACACTACACGCCAGCAACAATGAAATGTCACAAACTGTTTCCATATTGATTTAAAAGCCTTTAGAATTCAAATCTAAAAAATCACTGAATTCTGGCCTGTGTGTGACTAAATGCGGCATATTGTGAAACTAATTCTGACAGCGCTTCAAAATTGTAATTTGTAATTCCAACACCCTTGTGTTGGAATTCAGACACCCTGTGTGAGCTGTGTCAGAATGCGACACACTATCAGACACAGCTTGGAATGAGCTGTGTGTGTCTAATTCCGAGCTGTGTTGGAATTAGTTTTTATGTGTCCAAAACCATCTCTTAAATTAATCATCTAGCTATTAATTTATTTACCACTTAAAATCAGCAAATACAAGTATACTTGAAGGATTCCTAATATAGCTATATTCATAGACTTATTTAAAAGTGTCAAACCATAATATTCCCTCTACACAAACAGTCAATCACTATTAACTATTTAGTAAAGCAAGGTCAATCATCAACTTTTGTAGGGTAAACACGGTATATTCCATCACATTAAGGACGCATCGAGAAATGGAAAAACTATAAAAAAATAACTGTATGCGTTACTCAAGTTCTGTTTGCTTTACGTGACTCTCAAAACACCGCACTACGAGTCGGCAACAATGAAACATCACAAAATGTTGCCATATTTATTTAAAAGCCTTTAGAATGCAAACCTACCAAATCCCTATATTCCGACACTGTGTGTGACTATAGCTTTTGCCCAACGGAGCCTCGTGGCGAAGCTCATCTATCATTGATTCTTCACTAGTAAACACAAGATCTAGAATATTTGGGGTCTGTTTACCCCTAAAATGGGTTGACTTGGTGATGTTCTGGATTAAAAATGAGTCTCGCATAGACTCCAAGAACACGGATGCTGGGTGATTCCCATCTCTTGGAGAAGATTCATCTGCCCAGTCTATTTCTGGATGGTTGAAGTCACCAACGACCAACGTATGCGACCTGCTGAATGACATGCTCGGTAAAAGGCTGTTTAGTACTTTATTGTTATCAAAGGAGCTGATAGGTGATCTGTAAATTACCCCTATGAGAAGGCTATCTTTGCCTTTTAGAGTAAGTTCGCACCACACTGATTGATGCTCTGCAGATAACTCAACTTGCTGGGCCCCAAATGAGGTTCTAACCCACAGAGCTACACCTCTACTGCACTGCTCTTCATTTAAGTTATGAATACAATCAAAACCTGGCAGCTGAAATTCAACAGGTACAATTTTCCCCCCGTGATTTTTAGGGATTGTTTCTGTAATACAAATAATGTCTATACACTCGTTTGCGATCACAGCTAACAGTTCACTTTTCTTGTTCAAAACTGAATCCGAGTTCGTGTAAAAACATACCTCACAAATACATTGTTCACAACATCCGCATGGTTAATTACACGTACGTTTCCCTATTCGCAGTCCCTTAGCTTATATCGGTACCAATATATCCCGCTATAAGCTCTCTGCCAGCTAACGAATTTCGAATAAATTCAGTTCTTCTAGGAGATTTTTACCCGTCAAAGACTAATGGTTTGTTCGAACAAACTGCAAGCCACGAAGCCAGTCGCGGCTCTCAGTACTGACTGTAAATACAAGGGGGCGAGCATTGGCATATCGCGGGTTGCGATAACAGTTACTGAATAGAGGCTGTAAAAATCGCACTCGAGGGTTGATTTTACGACTCATGGGGCGCAATGTTCGCCAAGGCAAATTTTAATTAATTCGATTAGATTTGAATGCACTTGTATATTTGCTCAGTAGCCGCATGAGCGCCAGCATAACGATGAAAATCGTTAGGATTTAATACAGGATACGGCCATATTTCTTCGATGATTGTCATGAATGAGCAAATAACGGCTAGAAACTAGCGAACAGATAAAGATACAAGAGATGAAGTTCTCGTATTGCGTGCATTACTTGCCATTACTTGCATCGTACAGTGTTTACGGCGGTGCATTAGAGTCACAGTTATGGCGTCGGAATGTTACCCAAAGTTAAATAATGAACGGACGAAATTTCAATCATAACTATAATTTCGCACACGCAATAAATTGTTGATAATATTTCCACTTGAAGTATCATGGTTACGGCCTGTACATATAACCTTCCCGCCCGATTTTGTTCTGAAAAATTTTCGCAACTTGTTCCAAAATGCCGAGCGACGAAATTGAACAGGGCCAAGCAGCGGTCGTAGAAGCAACAGAGGAAATGAAGCGCATTGTGAAAAGTCGACGGAAATTTGAAGAAGTGAGACGTTTGCGCTATAGCTTGATGGGCCCATACGAACTGCTAGACCCACTTCGAATGTCAGGGAGTGAGATCAACGACGTGCAGGTCGATACTCTCCTTGACTCGAGTAGCCCCGTGTCCTGTATGTCCCTCAAGACTGTGGAACTTTGTGGAATACGCCATCTGATCCGCTTCAGGAAGCCTACAAAGCGCATTGGCAGCGAGGGTGGCGAACTAAAAGAAATTGGCTACATTCCATTAGTACCAGCAAGAGTAGAAGAAATGAACTTCGTGTTTGAGTGCTTCATCGTTGATGGCATTACGTACCCACTTATTTTGGGCACCAATTTCATTTATTAGACTTGCCACAACATCAACCTTTATACAGTCCACGAAAGTCTGGACAAGAAATTTGATTTATTCAAGGACGATGCGGGAAGCTTACAAAACAAACCGTGCAGATTTAGCATACGTTACAAAAATCGGCGTCAAAAGTAAAAGCTAGAGGCAAAAAGTTGAAAAGAAAAATTCGTCAGCGACACGAAAGCATGCATCAAGAACTTGTAGAGTTCCGCGAACGCAATGTAGTGCACAGCATCGACTTGGAAGCGTAAAACAGAATAGAAGAGATTCGCGCAAGCTCTCTGCCAGCTAACGAATTTAGCATTAAGCTCATCGTCTTTGGCAGTGAAGTGCCCGCCCTCATTTCGACCGGATGTGAAAATACAGTAATAACTTCGGCGTTGATGAGAAAATTACTATTAACGGCACTCATGGATTAATCTGAAAAATTTCGGGACGTCATACACGCAGAAGCTGGTAACGAAAGAGTCCTCGGGACAATAGTTCTTCTTCCTGCAATGTTCGAGCATCTGCCGTTATTATTTCCAGCTGCAGTGACAGAAGCGGAGGAAGAGCTTCTATAACTAGGAATTGACGGAGCCATAGGAACGAATTAGGGTCATCACCTCAAAGAGACAAACTCACAAAGTGACTAGGAGGGAACATTTATAAATAAGTCTAAGGCAAACATTGTCCCAATGATGTTCATCTACACTGCAGGTGTCCTCATTTGGCGAGAGGATCAGCTAATGATTCTGTAGGATATCATTCACTTCCTAGAGGTCCACGTTTATTCATCAGATTAAACCTGCAAGTCCAAATAAAACTAGTAAAACCAGCAAAAGCTGAGCGCCACGCTCAGCCCAGGCTAAAGGCAAATTATCAAAATTAAGAATAAGTTCTAGTGATGAAAGATGAAAACTGTGATATATTCATCCCGATGTAGATTTTGTTCTCTAATCGCCAGCGAGAGTATGCACTTTCTGTTGTCCGAAATCATCTCCTAGCGTTGCTCCGAGAAACGGGCGCCGCTTCCTAAGTTTCTCCCTTCAGGCGAAGTAAAGCCCGGCACGTGTACATGATTGTCGCCAGTCTTTCAAGTCCTGCAAAGTTCGTAAGCTACGAAGACTGAAATCACTCGGAAATGTAAAGTTCTTCACTGCACCGGAACGCAAGCTATCCAGGATTCGCACAATTAGTCAGGACAGTGCCTCACAGCACGGCAGTGATGATCCAACTTCAATTCCCTCGTTTATGTTCACTTCATCCTTAATATTGGACGTATTAA